GAGGAGTGGCTGGTGGGTTTGAACCGCCAGCCTTCTGGTTAGCAGTCAAGTGCCTTAGGCACTATGCTACCAGAGCTCCTACTTTGTAGGTAGAAAAGGCTAAATATAATAGGTTAGAATAACCTGTGAGAATTGTCTTTCGACTGGGCTATACATACCTGAGCTAACAGAATTTAAAAGGGTTTGCAAATCTAATATAGTAATGCCAGATTTCCTCTTTCTCATTAAACAAATTAATATTTCTCATGTTATATTGACCTTTTACATGAAAAATAAAACAAATAAAAATAGTTACTTTCAAGGTTAGAATATCTGGTAAACCCAGAGTTTAACTTTACTAACAATGGCTTTAGTAAGTTTTGAATGACTTACGGTTTCCTGGTTGTCTTGGAAATACATCATCATTTCTGTTTAGAAAAAGTTGTCAGATTCATAGAAATATTAAATAATGTCTTTCAATTTATTGCCTGTTCTGTATATCTTTGTATTTCCTTATGTTTTTGTCATATGGAAACAGAGAGAAAACAAAAATCCTGATAACTAGACCAATAAGTAATATGATAAATGGAGAAAATATTGAAGTTGTCACTGATTTCATTTTACTTGGATCCCCAATCAGTGCCCATGGAAGCATCAGTCAAGTAACCAAACAATGTATTGTACTGTGTAGATCTGCCATAAAAGACCTCTTTAAAGTGTTAAAAAGCAAAGCTGTCACCTTGAGGTCTAAGGTGCACTTGACCAATGGCATGGTATTTTCAGTACTTTCGTATACAATGTGAAAGCTAGACAATGAATAAGGAAGACTGCAGAAGAATTGATGCCTTTGAATTAGAGTGTTGGTGAAGAGTATTGAATGTACTATGAACTACAAGAAGAACAAACAGATCTACCTTAGAAATACAACCAGAATGCTTCTTAGGAGTGAGGATGGTGAGACTTCCTCTCATATACTTTGGACATGTTATCAGGAGGAACCAGTCCCTAGAGAAGGACATCATGCTTGGTAAATTTGGAGGGTCAGTGAAAAAGAGGAAGACCCTCAATGAGGTGTATTGCCACAGTGGCTGCAACCGTGGATTCAGACATAATAACAATTGTGAGGATGGCGCAGAACTGGGCAATGTTTTGTTCTGTTGTACATTGGGTCACTGCGAGTTGGAACTAACTTGATGACACTCAACAACAACAGTGCATAGTAAGAATCTTTAGATGCTAGAATTTTGAGTTTGTTTCCTATTTTTATAGTATCCTTTTGTTATGACACTGAGTAAAGTTAATTCTTATTGATCAGTCAAGTCTTTCAGGAGAACAACTTAAGTCTCCATAAAAATTGCATATTTATATTTTATATTTATATTTTTTCCTAAGTAAAGCCTTAAAAATTGCACTAAAATGGGAAACTTTTAATTCCTGAAATTTCATATTAATGACTATCTTAACAGAAGAAAAAATTTTTTACAACTAATTTATTAAAAACTTAAAAAAGAAAAAATTACTTTTACTTGTTGCTTCAAAGTATCTTTCTTGTCTCACTTGTGGTATGTATTTTTTTCATTATAGAATTGTCCTAAAGATTCTTTCTATTATCATATACACATCAGGAAAATAGAGAAATGATTTGTAAGGTTTTTATAAAAAAAGACAAGGGAAAAAGGATTATGTGATAGTTTCTTTTTTTCCCCCCAAGTGGCTGCACCATTTTACATTCCCATTAATAATTTAAGAGGGTTCCAGTTTCTCTCTATAAATGGAATAAAATTGAAATTCCAGAAATAAGTCCTAATATTTATGGTCAGTTTATTTTTGACAAGGTTGCCAAGACAATTCAATGAGGACAAAATAGTCTTAAATAAATAGTGCTAGGACAACTGGATATCCACTTGAAAGGGATGAAGTTGGACCCCTACCTCATACCATATAAAAAAAATTAGCTCAAAGGTGGATCAAAGACTTAAAAGAGCTGAAACTCCAAAATTTTAGAAGAAAGCATAGGGTCAATCTTTGTGACTTTGGATTCAACAGTGGATTCTTAGACATGACACCTAAAACACAGCAACAAAATACAATATGACCAAAGTAAGACAAACTCTGGCTATTCTTGCCTCAAGGAGCATTCTGGTTGCACTTCTTCTTCTTTTTGTTTTTTTTTGATTTTTGTTGTGATTTAGGTGAAAGTTTACAGAGCAAATTTGCTTTCCATACAGCAGCTCACATACACTCTGTCTCATGACAGTGGCTGCAATTTCCCACAATGCAGCAGCTCCCCTCCCACTTCTTCCCCCTCTAGTGACTTCTTCCCTGTGTCCTTCCCTCCCATGCACTCCTATTCCCTGAGCTGTCTCCCTGTGCATACACAGCCCTTCTATTCTCCCATGATTGATCTCTCCAAGGAGAGTATCTACCTAATGTAAATGTTCGGCTTATATGCCTGTCTTTTGTTTGGCTCAGAGCCAGAAGAGTGGGTTCATATCCAGACCTGAAGGGCAGTTAGGGGCCATAGTCTCAGTGGTTCCATCAGGCTCTATCAGACCAGTAAACCTGGTCCCTGTTTTTTTTTTTTTTTTTTTAATGATTGAGTTTTGTTCCACATTGTTTTCCCACTCTATCCAGTATCTCCTAGTGGTTGACGGGCACCATCTAGTTCTTCTGGTCTTATAGCCATATAGGCTGAGGATCGCATGGTATACCAGTCACTTGGACTAATTGTTTCCATGCATCTTTGTTTTTCTTCATTCTTCTTTGCTCTGGATGAGGAGAGACTCATTGTTGCATCTAGATGGCTGCTTGCAAGGTTTTAAGATCCCAGTAGCTACTTCGGGGCTGACTTGATGGCACATAACAACAACAACAACAACAACAACAACAACAAGCTACTTGCCAAAGTAGGATGTAGAACAAATTGGGTTTTTTTAATTGTGATTTGGGTGAAAGTTTACAGAGCAAATTCACTTTCCATATAGCAGTTGACATACACTTTGTATCATGATATTGACTACAATTTACCACAATGCAACAGCTCCCCTTCTACTTCCTCCCGATAGTTACCTCTTCCCTGTGTCCTTCCCTCCCATGCAATCCTGTCCCCTGAACTATGTCCCTGTGCGTACACAGCCCTTCTATTCTCCCATGATTGTTCTCTCCAAGGAGTGTATCTACCTACTATAAACGTTCACCTTATATACCTGTCTTTTGTTTGGCTGAAAGCCACAGGAGTGGGTTCAATTCCAGACCTGAAGGGCAGTTACGGGCTATAGTCTCAGTGGTTCCATCAGGCTCTATCAGACCAACAAACCTGGTCCTTTTTTTTTTTTCCCCCAAATGATTTTGAGTTTTGTTCCACATCGTTCTCCCATTCTGTCCAGGATCTACTACATAGATACCCCTCCAAGTGGTTGACAGTGGTAGCCAGGCACCATCTAATTCTTCTGGTCTCATTGTCATATAGGCTGAGGATCTCATGGTGTACCAGTCACTTGGACTAATTGTTTCCATGAATATTTGGTTTTCTTCATTCTTCTTTGCTCTGGATGAGGAGAGACCCATTGTTACATCTAGATGGCTGCTTGCAGGTTTTTGAGATCCCAGTCACTACTTGTCAAAGTAGGACGGAGGTGGAACAATATTTTGTGTAGTGTGTTATGCCAATTGAAATTCATGTCCCCTGTGACTATGGTCCCAGGGCCACAGGTTCAGCTATACACTCTTTCTGGATAGTTGGCTGTGCCCAAGAAGTGACTACAACCTTGTCCCTTGCCATCTCTACTATACACCTGGGAATTCTTTTTTTTAGTTTTTTTTTTTAATTGTGATTTTATTGTGGTTTGGGTGAAGGTTTACAGAGCAAATTCACTTTCCATACAGCAGTTGATATACACTTTGTCTCATGACATTGACCACAGTTTACCACAATACAACAGCTCCCCTCCCAATTCCTCCCCACAGTTACCTCTTCCACACCTGGGACTTCTTTCTTTCTTTCTTTTTTTTTTTTATTAGGATTTGGGTGAAGATTTACAGAGTAAATTCACTTTTCATACAGCAGTTCACATA